GCTCCAAGATATACAGGTTCAAAGAAAAAGAAGTTTCAAAAATGCGAAAAAATTCCGATTTAGCACCTTTTTTTAAAAAATCATATCTCTTTTGTTTATAGACCGATTTGAAAAATGCTTGAAAATTTTAAAAGAGCATACTTGAAATAATAACAAAAAAATTTGGCGATCCGATATTTTTTAACAAAACTGCAAGCAGTCCCGAAAACCCCACGCTCAATTCAACTGTTCATTGCTCAGTTGTTGAGCGACAATTGCCGCGCGTCAACACGTCTTCCTACTGAGGAAATCTCAAACTTTTTTTACATCAATATCCCAAACTCCTCCCCTTCCAATTTCAGAAATGCCAAACCGAGAAAGTTTCGCTGGAGTCCCAGGGACCCGAGTGTGTATATCTAGGGTTAGGATCGCGGCAATTAAATTAAATCTTTCTTACCGTGACTCGTGATAAAATTGGCGAGATAGAGATCCAGTTCCCGAACGGAAACGTTAATATGATAAGGATTGACACAAAGCCCCGGCTGCGCGCATTCCGCAGTTTTCTCAAGCCGTTCCCCGTCCGTCGATTCCAGTGGAATTGCCTTAAAAAGGATCACCATAACTAGGTCCAATCTCCATACCTATTACAGAGAGAACATTCGTTGCAGTCAGAATTTGCATTGTAAAAATTCTCATTCTAAAAACTCTGTTAAATATTAGTGTTTCCTTTTATTTGTTTCTCTTTAATAAGAATTTATTTAATAAAATACAGGTAGAAATGCGCAAAAGTGTTATGTAAATTCGGTTCACCGAACTTATACCTTGTCCGCTTGACGAAGACAATCGATTCGACGCATTTTGCCCTTTTGATCAGGATTGCTCAGAACGCACATCGCTGGTCTCTTCCCCGTGATACTCAACACAAAGTCCTCTCGGTATTCTTGCGTGATATCCTTCCGTAACTTTCCCAGAAGCCGCGAGGCCCATTTCTGTTTTACTTCCAGCTTCTCATTCTAAAGAAAAAAAAGGCATCGTAAATCACAAACACAATCATCATTGATTTATCAATTTCTATCGTGAAGTGACAATTATGTGTAATTCGCACTTTTTGATAAAAAAAAAAAAGAGTATTTGCGCGTATTCAATGCTAGAAAATATTGTATTAGTAGAAAATTTATGTAAACATCGAAAAAATCACATAGATCAAATTAAAAACGTCACTCGCTTCGATTAACGCACATATCAATTTGGTTTAGTCTTTTTGTTACGCAAAACAATTCGAAAGTATCGCTGATATACTCTCTTGAGATAAAATTTTGAGTAACGACTATAAATATGGGCCTCAATGACGTCCGATCTGAATATTTAGTCAAGTTTGTAAAATTCGTACGCCAAGCGGGAATAGGGATCAATGACAATCTCGAGGAGGAACATCTTTTGTGCGATATGCAGCGCACGCGTGCGACCCCTGTCACACTCGGAATAGCAAATACATGCATGCATAAGAACCCTGAGAAATGCATTGAAAGTGCGTGGAATGCATCGAAGTACTGCGCGCACGATCTATCTCGCCTAGCCCGTTTTGCCATGCACGTACACACGTCCGTACACACTTTGTACGACAGGAGGTGGAAGATCTCTAGCTAGCGTGTTCTAGCTAGGGATAAGTAGCGATTTCTTCTTTTCAGAGTTTTCCAATAATTTCATTGTATAAAGATTCGAATTGTTTAAATTTTTATTTAAAATCGAAGATTCATTAAAGTCTCAAATGCCTTAAAAATCTTTCCTTGAACATATATATTTCTTTCGAATAACTAAAACATTTCAAAGTCTTATAAATAAATTGTCTTCTATGTCTATGTGTAAAAACGGATAAACTGAATTATTACAAACTCTAAAATAATATTAATTATTACAAAAGAAAGGATATTTAATCTCCATATCATTTGTATATTTCAAGATTTTTGAAATATATAAGATTTCAAGAAATATCATCCGTATAATCTCTGCAAAAAATTTGAATTATGTTAATGTTTATACTTCCTGTATAAAAATAAATACTAAAACTATATACATATGAAACAGCTGCGTAAATAACCATAAATAATTATGTATTTATTAAATAAATTTTTATAATTTATTTGCTATACCTATTTTCTATTGCTATAATACTTTAATTTAAAAAATAATGACAAAAATTTTTATTTTCTTTGTATATTGTATTGTAATAAGTATTTTATTTAAGATTAAGATTTGTGCAAAGCTTTATTACGATACAGAAATTAGTTGTTCCGTAAAAACAAATTTTATTTATAGAATAACTAATCTATGTATTAATTGCAATAAAATTTTTCCTAAATAAACTTAAATATTTAAAGTGCTTACATAATGACAAAAAAAATTTTCTTATTATTTCTTAAGTTGAATTATAACAATAAAAAATAACAAGTATAATAGATAAAATAATTTGTTAAATAATTTCATAATTATTCATGGTTATTCACACAACTGTTTCATGTGTACTAGTTTTAATATTTATTTTTATATATAATAGAAAGTATAAATATTAACACATTTTCAATTTCAAACTGCAGGGCCTAAACATATATGGGTGATATATTCCTAATATTGATAATATTTGAAATATAATATTTGAAAGATTATCGTTGTGTATTTAAAACGAATAAACGCTCGTTAAATCTCATCATCACCACTGATTCTAACTCGCCGTTATCAATTTTACAGTAACATTTTAACTTTCACTAAACGGAACAGTTGGACGAAGCAAAATTAAACAAATAACTTTTAACAAATAAAATAAAATACAAGATGTAGTCAACAATTTATAAATAAATTCTACAGAAATTTCTAACAGAAAAATTGTTACTGTTAATTGTTACAATTAAGAATATACCACCCATATAATTTTTGCAAAAATAAATAAAATTGAAAATATGTTAATAATGTTAATATTTATATTTTCCATATAAAAATGAATAAATTGTACAATATAAAACAATTATGTAAATAACGTAATGTTATTTAAAATATTTAACAATACATTTTTATAGTTTATTTATTTTTATTTTTTATTAGAATACTTCAACTTAAAAAAATAATAAATGAATAAATTATTCAGACAGCATGCTTATTCAAAATCAGAACATAAAATGTCTTAAAGACATCATTACTTAAGACATTTTATGTTGCGATTTGGGACGTGCATACTATCTAAGTAGTTTCTTCATTTTTATACAAAAGTACATAAATTACTATATAAATATTAACACATTTCTAGTTTTAATTTTTTAAGAATTATATGTACGGATGATACATTTTTAAATTTAAGGACTTATTGCAACAGTGAGCTAACCCTCATTTTATAACATTTTATAAAAATCGAAAAAAATGAACTCTGAAGTTTATTGAGTTTGCTTTAGTGTCGGTCCACAATGAGGATTTTAAATCTAAGCAGTAAGAAATAGATCAATCGTAGTCGATTATAAGGAGAATAATCGATTGTAATTGGTCAATATGTATCTTACGGTGTAAGGCTTAAAATCCTTATTGCGGACCGACACTTAACTTTAGAGTTCATTTTCTCTTTGTTGTTACAAAATGTTGGTTAACCATTTTTGCAGCAAATCCTTCAATTAGTAACTACAAGAAGAAAATGTACAATTAAGCACACAAGTTAATTGATATCACACAACTTAAAAAGTTTAGAGGTTTGCTTAATTACCGAAAGTGTACAACTAACAAATTAGTAATCATTTACTATAATGACAATCAAACAGAGAGTAATCGAGGAATAATTGCAGAAATTACAGTTTTTCAAATAAGAGTTAGGACATCGGCCATCATTAATAAGGAATATAGTGGAAATATCTCTAAAGACATTCCTTTTACAAATATGGTACTAGAAAAATTTAGAATATTTAAGAATAATTACTATAAAGGGAGTGGATAAGTTTTTTTTTTAACTAAATTAGTTAAAGTTAATGACTTACAAAATTAATTTAATTAAGTTAGAAGTTGCATGAACGAAAAACTCAGTTAAAATTTTCGTTAAGATTAAATTAACTAAAGTTAAATTAAAAGTTAATTTTGAAAAACATCATTTATATTAAATTAAAATATCGATATTTTTAAAAATAAAATTACTCTAAATAAAAAAGATGACACTATTAATTAAATCAATTTAATAATTTATTTGTAAATTAAGTTTATATGAAATAACAATGAAATATTTTTTTATATGAAAATGTTTTTTCTTTTAAATAGGTAAATTTTTAACTTAGAAAAAGTTAATAAGTTAAAGTTTATATATATTTAAAAACTAGTTGAAGTTATAGTAGTTAATGCGTTTAAAATTAACTAAGTTAAGTTAAAAATTAACTATTTAACTTTATTATTTAACTTTTAACTTCTTAACTAGTTACTATACCCAATCCTTCAAGAGAGATAATAATTAACATAATTCTATGTTAACATTGATTAAATTTATCATATACGTACTATTCTGTTTCGTATTCTTCCCTATTACATATAGTGGATTAATCACTCGGTGCCCTAACTTCTATTTGAAGAACTCTAGTTAAAACGGCGCATCCACGACACCATCACGCATCGGTGCTCCGACATTTCCGTGCGCGAGCGCGCGCGCGAATAAAATGTCAGGCACGTTCTTGCACGCTTGCGCGCGCACTTGCGAATAAAGCGGATAAGAAATGCATTGGTGCATTCGCGGGTTTGCTTCTCACTGGAGAAAGCGTCGCACGCTTACGGTGCATCCTGCGTATACTCGATATCAGGTATGCCGAATGCGAAGGAGAGCCGTGTTCACAGGAATTGTACCGAGAGCGCATAATACCGTGACATGCGTACATGCGCGCTATCCCGAAGGTGCGGCAGTCTCTCCTGCGTCACTAATTTCACATAAATCGCGCTTATATCCAGTTGATTTCTTTCCCTTTATTCAAGCCATTTCACTAAGTGTTACGCAGGACAATGCTCAAAAAACAAATGTAATAATCCAAACGTTTAATATGATTTTTTTAATTTTATATTAGACATATTTTATTTTGGACTTGAATGAATCAATCGTTAGTGCTACAATCTTATTAGATGATTATCCGACACTTGCCACGGCAGCTGTTACCGATTCTTTCAGATCAAATATAAAAGTTTGCACACTGTAATTTACGCTTTCTTTCTCTTCTCTCCCCTTTTTCTCAAGCACATCACGATTTTACACGCTTTTATATGTCAATACATTCCGTCGTACTCCGACAGATTTTGCTTCACCTGTGAGGAAAATCCTTCGTAGCTTCGTCGATAACATGGGAAGAAAATAATACTTAGAACTCTTATCATATAGTATTGTGTAATATCGCAACACATTTTTTTGCTTCATTAATTTTATCGTCGCTTTAATTCTTTGTGCAATAAATCTCGATTCAAACTAAATAGTCTCAATACGACCATGCCATGAACTATTCATAAACGTGGAAAATAAAGTGCGTATTAAATTATCGGTCCAATGGTGAACGAACAGTTCGCATTTGCATTACTAATATAATTTTTTTCTCAACGGTGCAACAGCTTATTCGCCGAAATAAGAAAAATAAAAAAAAAGAAAGAGAAAACAGAAAAATGGAAAAACGTAAAAATATTTTTGTAATATATGAAGAAACCGTTATTAATCAAAGTATCAACTAAACGTATTTGCATGTCTATATGTAGAAGAAGAAGATGAAATCTGTTATCGTACAGTATCAAAACAGTGAAATAAAGTATTGCATTTGAAGTCGCGGACAACGCAACCAGTTCAGCTCAGGGTGAATTGTCATTCGATGGTAAAGTTACATAGAAAGGAAAGAAAGAAAATTCCAAGTGGGATAGAGAGAAGAGCTTGGAAATATATGTATTTATTAATTTGGCAAACTTCCCAGCCATGTATATCTGCCGACATTTTCCATTATTTTGTTATGACACGAACAAAGCGATTCCGCGATTTCTTTATAGGCAATATTCCGAGGTCTACGTAGAACGCTTCTAGATACTGTAAATATTACTGCCTCTTGAATCAGTCAGGAGTAAGGGCATCCGCTGTTATTTTCCCCACTCTGAATACGAAACACCGAAAGCATCAAAGTTGAAGTCGTCGACATCCCTAATCAGCTTCGTACTTTCATTTGAGGAGCAACATTTTTGTTTTATCTCCTTCTCTTTTCCTGGTACCCCTGGTACAGTACAAATAACTCGCAATTTGAAGTTCTTGTTTAACGACGTTCTTGGTTAACGAAACGATGCGCGGATATCGAATATCCGCATCTAGAGAGGTTCGCTGGAAATTTCTCACAGCGTTTTTATCCACGATTATTTTGGCGACGTTCGCGTAACATGGACTCGATACACACAGTTTCATGTAACCTTTTAGATCCTCATAAATTACGAATCCTGCACAAGAAAAGGTCGTCTCTCACGTATTAAACATTTATAGGCAATTAGTTAAAACGAATCTCGGCAATGCGCAGAAGAGAATTTTGTGACACTATAGTACAAAGCTATTTCATTGAAACTGAAATAGTGTATCTGCTAATTACAATGCAAACGGCATCTTAAAACATTCAATTAATACAAATAATCGGACGGCAAATATATACCAAGATTCTTTTTAGTACATTCTAATATCGAGAAAACGAGAATTAGAAAAACAGGATCCGTTCAAGCAACTAATTTAGCACAAACGTAAGTGATCGGTTGTTATTCCCTTTGAACGAATGACAATTATGAGACATAAAATCGAAGCGAAGTTCGCTGCAGTTACGCTACGTGTAATTTCCGGTTAATGAGCCGGGAAAGGTGACAATGCGAACGACAAACGGTACCGGTAGAAAGGGTAGCGCACTGCTAGTTTGCATAAATTTAGGAAATACAGGGTAGAAAATCGATATCTGCATAGAGATTATAGATGGTGGTTGGGGGGTAGGCGCCGCGTAGCCGCAGCCTCCGTCGCGACGGCGTATGCGCTACATGTCTACGTCCTCCAACACCATTTTCAACCACCCCAAACCGACCGGCCATCCCTCCTTCTCCTAGCTCCCCATTGCCGAAAAGTTGGTGTGCAACGCTCACATAGCAAATACTTCGTGGGTGTTGGTGCTTCTCCCTCTTCACTCCCCTCCCCTCTCTCTCTCTCTCTCTCTCACCCACACACATACACACACACAAACACACACACACACACACACAATCTCACTCTCACTCTCACTCTAAATCCTTCCGATCGTTCCGCTCTTCTCGTACAAACTTTCTCGATTCACCACGGCCCTTCCAACCCTCCACCGAGCCCGCGCATATACTCCTTTCGCATATGTACGCTCTTTCTTCCTCTTACAAGCGACGCGCCGGGAAGCGCCGGACCGCACCGCACCGCACCGCACCGCGCATTCCCTTCTCACTCTGGTTTATCCCCGTCTATCCATCCATTGCTCACATTCTCTTTCTTTTACTCCGACGTCCTACCTCTTTTGCTCATGCTACTCGCTCGTCTCGGTTCCTCACAGCGCCCTACACCCGAATTGAAGTAGTCGATATCGTACTGCGGTCTGTCTCGAAATTAAGAGAAAACGACAGACTCGCGTCGCGCTTAGTCTGACTCGTAGCTCTCGTTGTTTTCTATCCACATATCCCTTATTCCCGGATTCCTTTCTTCGACGTATATTAATGCGACGCATTGCTATGCTTACAATATGTACACGTTACGCCATTAATAAATTGCAATGGAATTAAATAATGATTAAATATGTAGGCATGCAAAGATATTTTGCTTTTATTAAAATAATTGAATTGAGTCAATAGCAAGATTATTTACGCCAGATTATCGTGTCTTTTAATTACTTATTTTTTTATTTTATTATTCAGCAATTAGCCGTAAACATAAGCGAAACACTGTTTCGCAACATTTGTAATCCTGTGTTGCATGATCCAACTATATGATTCAAAAGGTATTGTTTCCCTCGTTCCAGTTAAGTATTTTAATTAAACGAGCAAATTATATCAAAATCGATTAGCTCTTTTAGTTATGTTTAATCTATAAAGTAAGCTATTTTGGAATAGTGTCTAATCATATTATTAATATAATCTTTAAACGTGATTTTAAAAAGAAAAAAGAAAACAAAACCGTATATTCTGATTTTGTAAAATCAAAATATACGTAGTCGCGTCACCCTACAAACACCGCATCGTGCCAGTATTTGTATACAGAGGACATTTTAGCATTGTGTTTGGTATGTTGGCCAATGATCTTCTACTTTCATTCATGTTGTTCACAGAACCGACAAACTGTCTTACACGAACGATAGCAAGACGAATTTAAACGTAATTTAGATGAAATTCTATGTTTGGTGGACTGTTTCAAGAGATATGGTATTCCCGTCTCATGTCTATTTCTATCAATGTAGATTAACTTTAATCCAGATTAACTTACTTTATCTCTTTTTTAATTTTAAGAATTAGAAAAAGATAAAAAGTAAATAAAGCCGAGATTAAAATTAATCTACATTGGTAGAAATGGACATCATGTGGAATTTATCAATTGCAGAAAGATTTTTTTTTGCTTACAGTTAGCAATGTGCGTGAGACTTAGATCTTCAAAAGTATTCGGAAATGGGATAAAAATGCTAAAAATAGGGAAAGAAGAAACGCCTATGCGCCACTAGTTAATACCGACTGCTCTTCCGCTAAATACCGCAACATCGCGAAATTAAAATATTGATCGGACGCTATCACGAGGGAGGATGGGAATCATGGTAGAGAGAAGCAACGGGCCAACAGTATTAGCAACGATATTTTGTGGTATTGTCGAATGAGCATGTTGGGCTAGAGAAGAAATTTAATCGAAAGATTCACTATTTATTATTACGTTTTTTAATCGTTTAAGTCATAATGCGCGCGAACGCGCATGCGCACGTATACACACCTACGCACGCACGCACAAAATCTGTTCTTTACCTGCACAGGATTGCTAAAATTTTATCTTTCGCTTTCGTCAAATTTCAAATACCTATATATATTTTTTATTTTTATTTTAAGTACAATGAACGTACACTAGTAGTACGCTTGTAAGTTCAACTATAAAGAACAGACTTATATATAATAATCCTTGTCTTGAATAAATTGTTAAACAAGAATGTTAAAGAAAAAGTTAAAGAAGATTTATCCTTATAGTTTTCTATATATATTGGTTAAAAAACCATATAAAAAAATGCCCATTAAACTAATTTCAAATAGTCTCTCACCTGGAGTTCCTCCTTACACTGACGTTCTTCTTCTAAGCTCATCCGCTTTTCGTGTTTCTTATAGTATCGCCTTTTGGCAGCTTGTAAGTTGAACCATGTATACGAGAATGACTTCACGAATGGTAGAAGAGCCTCGATAAATGGATGGAATTCATCCTGCAATCATACAATGTTGATTCTTTTTATAGAATTTTCCAAATATAGTATTATATCGTTATATTAAGTTTTATATCTCACAGTTCCGCAAAAAGTCTGTTTTCCATTATACATGCAACTACCGACTGCCGATATAAAAACATCAACTTTTGTAAATCATGGATATTGGTGAAAAATTCACGCAGGAGCAAATGACACGAATGACATGCCAAACTACTAATTCAACTAGCTTCAACATTGAAATATTTTTGTTAATAGAATAGACAAGTTTTATCAAATATGTATCTTATGTGTATACTAAACTACAAATTAAAGTAAAAATTAAAGTAAACACAATATATCACATTTATATCGTTTTTCTTGATAAATATCTCTTTTGATAAATATTATAAAATTAATATAAATAAAATTATTGAAAGAAACCATTATTTGATTTACTTAAAAAAAGTTTATCACTGTTTAATCGATATTATATGCTTTAGAAAACAATCTGATCTATTTAGTCTACTTAGCTAATAAATATAAGAATTTCAATCTATCAAAAATCGTATATTCTACAATACACGGTTTCTCAAAAATTGAAATTCTTATACTTATTCCTGTTCCTAATATTTCTTCCATTGTGCTCACAGCCTTAGCGCCACGCTAAAGAAAAGTTAATAGTATAGCAGAGAAAAAGCGAAAAAAATTGAAATAATAAATATCAATGTGTATGACAAAATTATACTATTTAATAAATATTCATAAAAAATGAGTCTCGTATAATATAACTGAGTTGGCCTTGCATTAATTCCTCTATAAATTTATCAGTGTTGATATTCAATTTATGATAGTTTACATATTTGTATTACTTTGTAAGAAGTAATTTTTTTAAATCTTTTTTATCCTTTTTCTTTTAATTTTTCGTTCTTTTAAACATTCTTTTATTAGCTTTTTGTTTTATTAACAGTATTTTATTTCTTACTCGCTTACTCGCTTGATTTGCGGTTTCTTTTATCTACATATATTAAATGAAATTTATTTTTGCGATTCACTCAACATCAGACATATTGGAGTATTATTTGATATTTGGCAGTGGAACGCCTAACGATAATGATTTAATTCAATACCTTCCCTTCTCTTTCTCTTTCCTCTATTTATAATGAATATTAGAATCTTTTCATCATGTATATTTTGAATTTTATGAATAAACTGCTAAAAAATAAACGAACCATCGAGTATTCGCAAGCACTGCAGCCGCTGTAGCACACTATCGTCTGTCCGTCCCTCCTGCCAACGTCCAGCTGTCAGAAACAATGATCCTCGCGGTAATGATTGCGAAGATCCCGATACTCCTCCACGCCACAGTTGCGGATTGTTCGCAGCCTCATCTGTATCAATCGGATCTGTTCTCGAGATGAAGCGATCGACTTCCTCGCGACGTTAAATCTTCTACGCGAGCAACCGAACTCACAAGAGTCAACAGTCAAAAATTCTTCCAACTCCAATTAAGACTTTCTCGATTCACTCGATGCGCTCGTGCACTCTTTTCTTCCTCCTTACGTATTTTCCAATTATTCAAACCTATTTATCCGCACTTTTAACAAAAGTAGTCTCACATCGTCGAGGAGCCGCCGGCCAACACTGGTAATCTTGTTTGTAACAAGTTACCGTAAACGCTGTCGCGCCCATATATTCTACACGTTCTATATAATACCATTCGTGTAATACTGCACAACTTTTACTGACGCTATCAACATGGAGTCAGTTTAACATTTATTAAGCAAATGATCGTTCTCTTGAAACGGTGTTTCTAATTTAAGAAACGAGACAGTCCTTTCTTAAAAAAAAATCCCAAACTCGTTCCTATCGAATCTCACGGCTCGTTTTGATTAAAAAAAGAGTTTTTCTAAATTTGCGGTAGTTTAAATTTCAAGACGTCAAAAGCGTCAGCGATCTCACCCGGTTCTTGAAATGTTTGCGCATGACGAAACGATGAAAAGAGGAAAAGGAATCGAAGGAGTTAAGAGTATATCAATACGTTCGCGCTTTTTTTTTTATCTCGTTAGATATCGAGTAGGTGAAACACTTGTCAGATACGTTCGATTATCAGACGAGAAGACGAATGAGCGAATGAAAGTACGGACATATATACAACGAAATAATAAGAAACGAACGCAACTAATTGTAAGACAAGACCGTCGATCACGGACGTTTTACGGACGTGCTATTGCACGTTTACACGCACGTTCATTTGTATATGTAATGTTATTTTCGAAGATCGACGAAAATTAGGAATTAACATTAAACACTCTCGTCATCGCGGCAAGCGTATAAAAACACGTTAGAGAGGAACACGCAACAATTTTTGGAATTCAGGGAAAATACAAGCGAAAAAGCCAGGGAAAACGATTAACGCGTCTTCTTTTCTCTTTTTTTATTTATTTATTTTGCCTCTTTTTTTATTCTAAATTACTCCTCACGTGAGAAAATTCATGCCAAAAATCGACGAGCAGCAAAGAAGCGGGAAGAAGCGCAAAGTGAATCACTCCCGGAAAACGATGGTCACACGGGAAACGTACCATTGTCAGGTACGAACGATTCGCGAACTCAAATTAGAGTCCGTCACCTTCTCCTCCTTCTTCTCTTCCGCCACCACCGTCACCTCCTCCTTCTCTTCCTCCTCCTCCTCTTCTGTTCTTACTCGCGCAATGTCGCGTGGCGCAAACTCGTTCAAAAAAATTCACGAGTCACAACTGACGAAGCATGTCGATGTATATCGAATCAATGTAATTTTCCCGGTATTATATAGGAATAAAAAAAATCGAAATTCTCTATCTAATAGTAATAAATAGCAGGCGACAGCGAGACAACGAGAGCCGCTGTAAGAACGGGCTACGATATTTCTACGATAAATAACGCATTGCAAGTATCGGATTTGATGAAAAAACACGCGACAAAAATACACCGTTATGAAAAATGTAACGACGAGCAATCGGTGAGAAACCAAAACATACAATTAACACATTATATCCGCCTACGTAAATTCAAATAGCGAGAATCCGTATCGGCCGAGTATCT